CCAGAGAAAGAAGAAGGAGGAATAGTAATTTAAACATATTTACCGGAAAAGGGAATATCCTGTGGCATGTGGAGTAAGGCAATATCGTTTTGAGCCGGTCTGTATAGCGGGTGTAGACGGCTGTAGTCGCAATCATTGACACACCGGGGCCTAAAAGAGTGTTGTATCCAATGCCGGACTTGTCGATGATGCCGAACACCACGAAAAATTTCTGTGATCCCCCCTCTACGCAATGAACGGCTGAGTACACCATACAGCCGCTCATTGCGTAAAGGGAGGGCCACAGAAATTTTTGACCGATTATGTATTCTTGTTTGAAGTACTAAACTTACTACGAACCAGAATATGTTTTGAGTAAATATGACACTTGCGATGACATTATGGTAGATTTGCGGATATATAAACTTATCAAATACTTGGAACAAATAATATTTACTTACAGGTAGTATATATTTTTCTGTGTGTAGCGGGTGTACCACGGCTGTAGTCGCAAATCGTGCAATACGGCGGTGCAATAATAAATAAAAGACTATAATACAGCTGTTATTTATTATCGCACCGCCGCATTGCCCGATTCTTCCGTAGCCCATGAATTGATGCACCACTGCCATGTACGGAATGTGGACTGTCGCTAGTGCTCGCTTTGTCGTTAATATATGCGAAATCAATGAAGTCAAAGTATAATGGAATGTGGAAGTCACGTGCAATTATTGCCAAATAAAATTGCTTCATACGTACGCGGAATAAAATTCATGCTGAATCAGGCGATTTTGTCAACGCAGTATATTTATTAAACACCCAAATCTGTTGGTAAACATAAGTTCTTCGAATATTTTTCCTTCAAATTTTATTGCAACACTCTGCCCGCTCAAATTAATTTTCCTTTGATGAATATTGAAATAATATTTGCAGTATAACAATTAATAAATATCGTTATCATACACTTGATAGAAACTGGAAGCATAAAAAGAAACTTTAGATCAACAACTTTAGAGTAATACATTATATATAGGTACTCTCTAAAAATCATTCAGTAGATTATCACTGATTGACTTTTAAAGAGTAATTGAAGATTATATATTATAGAAGATTACATATTATAGAAGTAAAATTAGATATTAATCTATGAATAGTTATGGTGTGAGGTAAAAAGGGGCTTTATTTTTATCTTCTACATGTAGCACACTCCGCGTTATACGAGTATATGCCTTCACGCTGGAACACGAGATCGCCAGCAGCATCACGCGTAATGCGCTAAATTCTTCATCAAAAATTCTGCATCCGCTAATGGCCGATACATGATATTTTCTGTTTCACGGCACAATCGATGATTTGTCCAGCGACGCGGCAGCAAAGTGCCATTAACGAAAAAGTGGCGCGTGATGCCTGAACAGTCCAAATTAAGCGGAAAAAGAAAGAGCGAGCTGTAAAACCGTGTGCTTCTAATTGCTCTAACCAGATTGCCGCGGCATAATTTAGAGGCCTCGTTTAACGGCCCGGGTGGAAATTTCGGAAGAACGTGCGACGTTTTCCCCCCGATTGTTTTGCACCGCGCCGTGCGTCCAAGTGTGTAAAATAAAGCCGTGTGCAATTGCACGCGTGCAATCTGCATAAATTTAGAGATTTCGCGTTCCAGCCGCGTCCCCTTCCTTCCCTGAAAGATTCACATTGTGTTCCGCATTCAATTACGGAGGTAAACGACGCGACCGCAACGCGAGAGGGTTCTCGCGACGCGGCGAGAGGCGTATCCGGCGTAGCCCGGCACTTCCGGTGCCACAGCGGCGACGGCGCAATAAAATTTCAATATCGAATATATTATTTTCGAGCTTATTTTGTGCTCGTCCGACACGCTCGCTGCTGACGACAGCAGTAAATTCAAGTCGTTACAAGCTTGAAGGCCGAGTTGAAGGCGTTTCGCTCAGATTTTAGCTTTACGGGGAAGCTGGAGTGATTCTGCACCTTTTGCATTTTTTGCATTTAGAACTGTCAATTCGTGAAAACATTTGTGTAGTATACAAATTATAAGGCTTATGCGTGCACATCGAAAGTGTCCCACTATTCGAACTAAATCAGAGAACGGCATGGTATCATTGAAACTAAGTTTAGAAGCCTGATGCTTACTCGAGCTGCCTTAGGCAGTTTCAAGTGCAACTGATGACGAAGGCCTTCCTTTTGGTTTATGCGAATGCTGATCGGAGCAGTTTTTCGGCCCTTTTGCCCTCATTAGGGTCTCTCCGCGGAAACGACGAAAAAATTTATATGGAAAGCGGGAAGAACGCGAGCGACGGTTCTCTCGCACTGGGCCGAGCATGCGCCACTTGAAAACGATCAAGAGCCAAGTTTGCTGTGCCCAGGCCGGAATCTGGGCTCGACATTGCAGCTGCGCCATCGGCCGATGACGCAACTCGATTATACAGCACGCTGGGCGATAGAACGCAGTTGCGGCACGGGTGCAATCTCCGTGGATCATTATTTCATTTCAAAGTACGATGCCGGGAAAAGTGTTAGCGTCGGCGAGGTGGCGACCACTTTAACAAGGAATCGCCGCGAGAAACAGCGGCAGAACGTTTATTGTATCTCCGAGGGACGCCGAAGCAGCTTCTTACAATAAATATGTAGATCTCGTGCAACTTTCAATGTCCCGCGACAGATTACACCTTTATTTTCCCGCGTCTATAATGAGGCGACTAAATATTCATACCGCAGGCGCGGATGAAAAACTTGTTGCGAAAAAAAAAGCATTAAAGTGTAGCTGTAACAAGGTAATTTCATAACGTTCGAGAATACGCTCCGAAAGTAGATTAAATATTCCGTAAGTAGATTAAACGTTCTAGCGATAAATTGTCTGTGCCCAAATGCGCGTCCAATAATTGCACAGCGCGAAACGGTCGAAAATAGTTGCCGTGACGAGACAAAAATTTGACTTTTCCATTTTTCACACTGAATGTACGAGAGCGGAGCATGTTTTATCTCCGTCGCGAAAACATAATGAACGTGGCTAATAGAAACGGCCAATTCAGATGTAATTGCAAAGATAAGAAATAAAGAAAAGGATATTGAAACTCTCAAAAGATAGACCCGCAATTGGTCCTTCCTTGCAATTGTGATTCTGGCCCGAGATGAGCTTTGTTCTAAAAGTCAATCCAAGTTCCGGTGGCAACCACGGACGACAGAACGGAGCAACGCCGTGTTTCCAATTCGCGTTGATCGGCGATTGCCTTTGCGCCGCCTCCGCGAGTCCGAAATCCAGACTCGACGTTGCGGCTGTGCCGAGCGATGACGTAACCGGGCTGGGGTATACAGTATGGAGCACAATGGCCTGTATGTAGGTCGTGGTGTCAGTGCCACCCCCCTCTTTACCGTTCCATCCCTCGCTGGGAGTTCGCTACCTCGATCCCGGCGTGCCTGGAAAATCTCCGCGATATCCGCCCTCCGTCTCTGCGTCCGGCTCCTCCGGACGCTATCGCGGCCAATTTGACCGTCGCATTCGCGCGGATCGCCGCAATTTCGAGTCCGCTAATGAATGCGGTCGCGGACAAGCGAGTCGACATCTCGAAACCGCGGCTGGCCCCGGCTCCGACCAAGTTTCGCCTCGCTTCCTGGGAATCATCTGCGGCGCGACCTGGATTCGTCAGCGGCCGCGCCACGGCGTCCTCCCGCGCAGCGGCTGCAGCGAGCTCGGTGCATTTGATCTCGTGAACCTCCCGATGCAATTGCGACTATTCGCGTCGATAGAGAAGAAGTTTCTGCACGGCATCCGCGGAAAAGACTTCCGGATGCGATGTTATTGCACTTTATTTGTCATAAAATAGGTTTGATGCTGTGATAACCGTATTTATTATTGAGAAAGGAATAATTTAATCTTAAAATGGAAAATTCTTAAATCCTAATACTATTATGTGATTTTTAAAAAGTCAATCAGTGAATTATCACTGAAAACAGTGAATAGTCACTGATTGACTTCTAGAGAGTAGGAATTATTAATTGACTCTTATTGTTTAATTTTTTTACTATACAAGTTTAAATTTGTTAAAAATTTCTTGTCTTGTTATCAGAAATCCTTTTCGAGGAGGAATCTGTTCCGCGTAATGTCGCAATGACGATCTCATGATATCACGCTTCAATCTTTATTTATAATATTTTCTCGATTAAATAATGTTATACGTTGATTATTAACTCATGAAACACCCAGATCAAAAGAGTAAGGGAGTGATAAATATAACTTACTAAAATTACGAGTGAAAATTTGTAGCATGTGCGCATCGATATTTAACTGAAACGTTTTCAAATTATTTTGTAGCTTTTGTGTTCTCAGCGTATCATTGTTATATCGAATATTGGAAAGTTTAGAAGCATTTTCCCAAAATCAACGACGTAGTTAATTTTATAAATTTTATCGTTCGCACGCGAAAAAAGGCTCGCTTCATTCATCACATCGAATTTTTAGTATTTGAAATTTCGAAACGAGAACCCTCTCTCTGATATTTCATTTTACATATTGTACAGCGCGTTTTAGTCTTATGAAATTTTACTTTCTCGTCGAGTATCACGATTTAATAGCTGATCAGACTTTCTAACGAAAAAAGACTTTCTGACGACGCGCGCAGTACGTCATTACTGATGAACGCTCGGGGAAACGAAGCGTGCGAGCGAGCATGCATTTTTCACCCGAAACACGAAAAATCCAGGCGGAACGGGGGGTGGGGGGGGGCGGAGGGTAGAATTAAGTAGGTAGTTCTCCAGAGCTGGCCTTTTTCGTTTTTGGGCGCAAACCCGCGCTATCGTGCCGTCTTATACTTACTGCCGTCGCCGCGCTCGAGCGGACGCGGGAAAGAGGGATGCGACGAGGCTGGCAAGCAAACGGCTCGAATTCGCGCAGTGAACGATTTAAACAGTCCTAAACACATATACGACACACACGAGCGGGGCGAAACTGCTCCTTTTCCCAGGACAAGTCGCATCGTCCCTAACTTTTCCCATTCTTTCGCCCCGATCCCGGGGCTGCTCGCAATTCCGCGCCTCTCCTCTCCGCTCTTTGCTCCTTTCTTTCGCCACGTCGTGCCCTCCCACTCGTTTTAGAACGTAGAGCTGGAAACTCGTGTTCCATCGGCTTTGTAGCCGCTGCCTCACGGCCCTCTCGTGACGGTCGTCCTGCGTTTTCGACGACGGCTTCACTTTCTCCGCTTCTACCTTATCCGCTGGATTCTCGCGACTTCTTATTGCCTCGCGGCGAGCTAGAATCTCCTTTCATTTCAGCCATCTCCCCGGGGTACGTGCGATTGTAATGACTCTTATTAGAGAAGCGGTCTTTAAATGGTCTTTAATGAAGCTTGTATCGCTG